TTATTTTATTAAAAAGTTGAATATATTTAAAAACACTTACATAAATGTTTAAAAATTTGTTTCCTTTTTTTTGTTTATCAAATAATCGGTTAACAAAGAGGACTTAGAGAATTCAGGAAAGAAAGAGAGGAGAGAGAGAACAAAAGTTCAATTTTGGGCGACTTCAAGCTATTTTCATCTCTGAATAAAATGAGTTTAGAAATTTGTTCGTCTCAAAATAATTAACATTATGTCGATATCAATTTTAAAAAATATGTAATTTTTATCAAAATTGTTGATTAAATATTTATTTTCATTGCAAAATAATGTGGATAACTTTTTACTAGTAAAACTTTCACTACATAAATTTTTATATGTTATAGAGATTAAAATTATGGATATTTTGAATATTTTTTGAAATTAAATTTTATAATGAGGGTTTTTTAATTTGTGAGGTTTTTATTAAATAATAATTTTTTTGGACTTTAAAAAAATAGTATTTAGGATGATAAAAAAAATATATATTATTTAACACAATCCTAGATAATTTGGTTATTGTCTATAAATATGCATTTTTGCCTAGTATGATTTTCTGTTGCCTACTGTTATAGAAAACTATATAATTTTGACTGTTATAACTACTATAATGTGATGATTTATGTATATATGTGATTATGTTTGGATCAATGATATTTAATAAGTTATGGTGCTATAAGTATAAAAGGGGTTCGTAAGGGCCCTAAATTATTTGAGATTTTTTTTGGGTCTAGAAAATATGATATAAACTACTCTATGATATGGATTATAATTTATTTATATGTTCAATATTATTTTTTAAATAATTGGATAACTATTATGCTCTTATTACATTTCTTCGTATAATAAATTATTATATTGCATTTAACTACTTCTAAATATTCAATAAAATATAATAAAAGAATTTAATATTTTAGATTAATTTGTGTGGCATGTTAAGTTGTTGTAGCTCACTGTAGTTTGCTTGTGGTTTTCAGGTTCTGAAAAAGGAAATGAGACTGTTGATTAACAATTCATGATCAAATCTGAGATTATTGATATTTCTCTATTTTGATTTTTTAACAAGCATGGCTAGTTTATCTTTTAATTCTATAGCTTCTTCATGTAACCATATATTATATTGTAGATAAATTTTGATAAAATTAAAAAAATCTTATGGATGAGTTTATTTTTAGTATTTGAATGTGTTAGTAGCTCTGTGATATGTAGTTATTTAAAATGAATATTATAAGAGAATCTGAATATTTTAAAACTAGATCATGGGATTTGCTTATCATAGCTCAACATGATAGGACCCGTCCCAATCGGGTTAGATTTTGTAAATTGTACCTAGAGTTTCCTTAAAAGGTGGATAATATGTGTTTAAGGTAGCTCTAAGTAAGGTAGTGTTGCTAGTTTTAAGAGTTTTGTCAGTGGAGCACCTATGTGTTAGAGTTATAGCAGACAATATTCTGGTCAGTATGACTGGGTGATTAGATAATACTTCATTTACATACATGTAGGATATTGGGTAGTTGAGTGTCGACAGGTAAGATTACATTGATGATATAAGTCCTAATCTAAGAGTTCTGTTAAGCCAGTAGGGAGACATAGGGTTGTCCAAGTTCATACAATTTTTAAGGGACCATCTAGTAAGGGCGGTAGATATATTATGTGGAAGGTTTAATAGTAGGTACATCATTTAGCAGTGTTCAGAGAGAGCCTAGTATTTCAGTTGCTCCAATTCTAGTTTAACCACATGTGTATAATTTAACATAATGGGAGGCTTGAGATGCTCTAGATATGGTTAAAAGTATGACTTATATTTCTGGTTAGCAATATCATATTTTATTTGATTCTAGAGTTAGTTATTTATTTATTTTTCAGAATTTTTTGATTTTCTACACTTGCCTTTAGTTTTACAATCTTTTTCTTTCTCTATTATTTTACTAACTATAAATGGTATGATAGTGAGTATAATTTATTTCTATGATATTTAGATTTTTTTTATAAGAAGTGGAAGTCAAGTTTGATTTTATCACCCATTTCTATATTTGATGTCATTTTTGTTATGGATTAGTTGAGTTTGTATGAGACTCGGATTGATTACTTGAAGAAGCTAGCTATTTTATTTTTAGTTAGTGAGAGTAATGTATTTCAGGGAGTTAAAGATATTGTCTTTTTTTATTTCTTCTATAAAACTAAATAAATTATGGAAGAAGGGTTGTATGATACTTTTTGCTTCAGTTTGGGACAGCATGGTAGATTCTGGTTCTATTACTAGTGTTCCAGTAGTGCGAGAATTCCCATATATGTTTTTCGAGGAGTTGGTTAGTTTCTCTCTGGATAAAGATAAAGAGTTATGTATTAATGTGTATGGGTACGACCCCATTTTTAAAACTTTGTATAGGATAGCACCTAAGGAGTTTCAAGAGTTAAAGATGCAACTTCATTAGTTAGTTGATCGAGGATTTGTCCATCCTAATGAGTCTTCATGGGGAGCACCTATTCTATTTGTAAAGAAAAAGTATAGTATGATTGCGTATGTATATTAATTACAATGAGTTGAATAAAGTCACTTTCAAGAATAAATATCTTTTTTCATGGATTGATAATCTATTTGATCATATTATTGAATCTTTTCTATTTTTCAAGATTAATCTGCGATATGGATATTATCAGGTGAATGTGAGAGAGATTGATATGATGAAGATAGCTTTTAATATGAGGTACCTACACTATGAGTTCTTAGTTATACTTTTTTGGGGTGACTAATGCACCACAAGTCTTTATAGATCTGATGAATAAAGTGTTCAAATATTTTTTAAATTAGTTTGTAATTATTTTCATAGATAATATTTTGATTTATTCTACTTTTAAATATGATCATGTAAGATATATGAGGGTTATTTTGGAGACTTTAAGGCAGCATCAATTATAGACAAAATTCTCCAAATGTGAGTTCTGGTTAAGGAGTATTTCTTTTTTGTGACACGTGATGAGTAGTGCTAGTATTTCTATAGAACCCTAGAAAGTTCAAACATTTTTTGATTGGCCGATGCTTACTATTGTATTTGAGATACACAATTTTTTGGGTATGGTTAGCTATTACAACAAATTTATGAAAGATTTCTTACATATGTCTACACCTTTGATGAAACTAACTTAGAAGTTAGTTGCTTTTATCTAAACAACGAAGCATGAGGTTTGTTTTTAAAAATTGTATGATTGTATGACTTCAATTCTTATTTTTTTCCTTTTGTCTGGTATAGAAGGACTTCAAGTATTTAGTGATGCTTCACTAAAATATTTGGGATGTTTATTTATGCAACATGAAAATGTGATAGCTTATACCTCTAGACTATTAAAGACATAGGAGAGAAATTATTTAAAACATGATATGAGATTGCTGGCATGATTTCTTCTGTGAAGATTTAGAGACGCTATTTATACTGTGTAAGGTGTGAGATTTTCATAAATCATTAGAATTTGAAGTATATTTCTAGTCAAAAGATCTAAATGTAAAGGAGATGTACTGAGTTGATTAAAGACTATGATTTGACTATTTAGTATATAGTTGTAGATTCTCTGAGTAGAAAATCTAATGGATTATCATGTATTCAGCTTACTTTTAATTAATGTTTGATATCAGACATGAAAATATTATAGTTAGAGATGATTTCTTTTATGAACAGGGATTTTAGTATTTTGACTCAGACGACTATATAGTCCTCTCTAAAAGAAAAGATTTAGGAATCTTAGAAATAAGATGTAGAATATTCAATGTTGATTGATTAGATCATATATATATGCTAAGAAATATGAATTACGAGTATATGATTAAGGTATTATTTTTTGGAGATTTGAGATGAGAGATTTTACACTAGGCCAACTATTCAGCTAGGAAGCAGTAAAATATATAGTGATTTAAAAATATATTTTGGTGGCTTGGATTGAAAGAGGATGTAACAAACTTTGAATCATAATGTGAAGCCTGCCAATTAGTGAAGACAGAGCATCAATGACGAGAATATTTTTTGCAACCATTCCCCATTCCAAATTCGAAATAGGAAATGGTAACTATGGATTTCATTAAGGGCTTTGCTAGGTCAAGATAGGGACAAGATGATGTTTGGGTTATAGTTGATCATTTGATGAAGTCTGCTCATTTCATTTTGATTCGAAAATCTGATTCAATAGATAGATTGATACAAGTATATTTGTGTAAAATTATCATATTACGTGGGATATTGAAGGTTATTGTCTCTGACATAGATGAAAGATTTAACTCAAGAATATAGAGGAGTATTCAACAAGAGTTGGGTACTATATAAATTGCATTTTAGTATGACATTTTATCCTCAAATTGATGGACAATCTGAGATGACTATATAGTTACTAAAAGATCTTTTAAGATTATATGTTTTATATTTAGGTGACAATTAGACCATATTCTTTTGATCGAGTTTGTTTATAATAGTAGTTTTCAGTTAAGTATAGGCCGATATGGCTCTATATATATATCAGCTCTATCTGAAGTTTTGTATGATAGAAAGTGCCGTACTCCCACTATCTTGGAAAGAGGTAGGCGAAAGACCATTGATCGGGCCAGCCTTGGTAGATGATGCTACTAAAATGGTTTGTCTTATCAGAGATGGATTGAAAGCTGTACATGACATGCAAAAATAGTATTTTGATATTAAACATCGGGTTATAGATTTTTAGGTAGGAGATTTTGTATATGTGAAGATCAAACTAATGAAATGCATTACCAAATTTGGTGTCATGCTCCAGAATCTAAATTAGAAGAATTATTTTATTTATCTTTTATGCAACAACACTGGAGCTCTATCTTATCTTCTTTTAGCAATAATAATATCACAAAACCAAAAAATTAATATCAAAACAACAATATATCTGTATTCATTATTCTCCCAAAAATAATATAAAATACTATGGAATAATATAAAATACTATGGAATCTTACAAATACAGCACACATACATGAGAGAGAGAGAGAGAGAGAGAGAGAGAGAGAGAGAGAGAGAGAGAGACCATTTCCAATCCATGTCAATGTCCAATAATTTCGAATAAGTATCTTATCTCATGTTCGTTCTCGCTTGCGTGTATGCCACAACTGGATCAAGCATATAAGATGGAAGAGCCTTCGATCAATCCCACCAAAATCTTCTGTCCAAGGAGAGGAAGACACCTACAAGAAGAGTTATTATTAGTGTTACAGGATTACTGGAGGACCGTTAGTGTGGATCAGGTTCTTCTAATCTGATTTAATTAATTACTCATATAAATTTTGTTTCCAGATGGCTCTCCTTTGGCTTTATTAAAGTAAAAATAACCTTTGATCGTCGATTTTTTTTTTGTTAAATGTCGGGCATTATGAGATAGATTCAATGGCTTTCACAAAGGTCTCATTCACTTCACTGTAACCCAATAATGTCCATAGCCCTCCTTATTTTATCATCATCATCATCATCATCATCATCTTTGCTTAAGCATTTTCTATCCAGAATAAAAAAAGAATAAGAATAGTACCATGCAGAAGCTTCATTTCTAAAGCTGTTATTAAAGACTTAATTGGTATCTTTTCAACCAAAAAGACAAAATGGTAACAGAGAAGAATAACCTTCAGACATCATTATGCAGAAATATTCCACAACTGAGTTAGAAACATAACAGAAGTAAAATTCTTCTCCACATACTTTAGCAAAATAGCAGAAGAAAACGTAACAAGCGAAATACACATTCCATAACTGAGTTAGAAAGTGAGCAAACAAGTCTTTGTAAGAAGGATCGATCAGCGTATTGGTTTTACTAACCATCCTAATAGTAGAGAAAGAAGAGGAATTGGTTGGCCAAAATTTGTCCCATTATATCTCCTAAAATACTTCCGTTGGTTAATAGAGTTAGGTTTTGTTGGGATGGCTTTCTTACTGTTTCTTAAAGTATAAAAATTTTATAATGAAAACTTGCTTTAAGAACCAGTAAGAAAGCCGTCCCAAACAAAGCATAAGTCAATAATTAAATGCAATTAAGAAACCCCAATTTCATTTGTTAGTTTGTTAATAATAGAGATATTAAGAGTTTTGAGACTCAAAAAGCCCAATAGTCATACTTTTTAGACACACATTATAGCATCATCTAGTAGGCTAAGAAAGAACTTTACTATCAAGTGGCCTTTTAAAAATAGTATTCATATATTAATTGCAATATAAAAAAGGGTATTGTGATAGAGAGATGTGAATGAAATGATAGTATTAATAGGAATTAGTCACCGCATTTAGAGAACCAAATAATCGGAATCCAAAAGTTTCTTATATAAATTACTGTATAATACTTAGGCTTCATTTGAGATAACTTTCATGCTGCTTTTAAAAGTAAATTTTTATTATAAAAAAATTTAAAATAAAATTTTTGAACTAGAAAGTAGGGGTGGTGTCAATATTTGACACGAGGTCGGGTTCAGGTTCAAATTTCTAACCCGTTTGAACCCGGGTCAGTTTCGGGTTCGACCCGAACCCGACCCGTGACCCGAAATTGACACCCCTACTAGAAAGTAACTTTAAAGAGCAATAAGAAAGCTGTCCCAAATGAAGCCTTAGTCAAGCTTCCAAATTTATTGCTAAAGAAAGAAGATAAGAAAATAAGCCTCTAGTCCTATTCCAACATAAATAACAGAAGACTTTGAAAATTTTAATTTTCAAACTTAAAGACTTTCTCAAATAAAAAAGATGCAGGATTATTTCAAGATAAGCGGCATATTTAAGATCAACATCAATAATATGATGTTTCCCTATTGCAAGATAAGATTTTTATAAGATATTGTCCATAATCTAATCATTCTTCTTAGAACTATTAACATCATAATAAATAACATAATTAAATTCCTAAAAATTTCTCTATCATATTACCTCATTTATTTTTTCTATAAACCCCTGTTTATGTTAAAACTGAAAAATGATAATAGAACAATGATCTGAAAGATCTGTCCTAAGAGAGTCCTCTAAAATAATCAAACAAATAAGCTTCTCAAACAACTTGATCAACAGTTTTTCCATCTAATTTACACTTTCTTAGTCTTAAGATTAGACTAAGGTTTCGATTGAGATAGTTTTCTTTACGCTTTTAAATTGTTTAGTACAATTTTTTTTTAAATTTAAGAAAATTTTATACTAAAAAATTATTTTAAAAAGCAAAAAAAAAAAAGCTGTCTCAAACGAAATTTAAGTGTTTTGTTTGTCAGTAATATTGGCACGAATGAATCTCATTTCTTTGTATAATATCATGTTATAATCATAAACATAATCAAAGGGACCATAAACTTTCATGGAAGCAGAATAATTGAGTCTGGAGGGTTCTACAAAATCTGCAAGGCCGAGAATATTATATGGCTCATTTTTTTAGTCTAATAAATTCGAATTCCAACCACAAGAACTTTCTCAAAAGCTATAAAAGAATCTGAGATTAGTATTGCATATGGCATCTTAAATCCAAGGATTTTGAAATCAATTTTGTTGCATTTTTGCCATGATATCCAGATTTTTTTTTGAAAACTTATTCTCTTAAAGAAAAAAAAAAATGCTAAAATTAAGAAAAAATTACCCTCTTGACCACGCTTTTTTAATCTTATAATCCTGCTCTCTAATATTATTTGAAGTGCCAATTTTCATAAGGTGCAAATAATTCACAATAAAATTAATAAACAAGCGAAAGATCACAATATTAACTGATCGGTGCTTCCCATTACAAGTTTACGAAGAGAATTGCAGCGTTCCTTTGGCCAAATTGGCAACATTATATTTAGGCAATTTAGAGAAAATATCAAATAGTTAAACTTGAATTGAGGAAACTAAGCCATCAACATAAAAACTTCAACAAATACCTAATAATTAAATATCTTTTCTCCTTTGAGATGCCTAAATGTGACCTTAATTGAGAAGTCACCCATTATAATAGTAATAATAATAATATTTTATCTACCAACAACATCATCATCATCATCAAGCATTTATCCCACTATGTGGGGTTGGTTATATGAATCCTTTTTTTCTCGATTGTGTTATGTTATGAGTCAAATTCTAATTTAAATTTAATAAAAAAATGTCATTTCTAGTAATTTCAAGCTAAGACTTTTTTGGTCTACATCTTCCTTTCTTAACATAGGCAAAATCCAATACATCAACTCTTTTAATTAGGTCTACTCTAACTGTTTCACGTATGTACTCGTTTTGAATTTTGTCTATAGCAGTGAAGTCACTCATCCACGTAAGAATTATCATCTCTGCAACACTTAATATAATGCTACTCGTTAATGGCCTACATTCTATGACATAAAGCATTGCTGGTCTCACCACCATCTTATAGAATTTTCTTTTAAGTTTGAGGGGTACTTTTCTATCACACAATAGGCTTCAGCTTATTCATGATATCAATAAGAAGACCTCTGGCAGGGCATAATTTAATCTTTAAATTGAATATCTCCAAAGCATATGATAATATTAATTGAAAATTTATCCTCAATATACTTGATCTATTTGGCCTTGGTAGCAATTTTATTAATCTAATTAATTTTTTTTTAGAATGTATGGTTTTCTATCATAGTCAATAATGGTAAATCTAAAGATTTCTTTAAAGCAAGCCAAGAATTAGACAAGGGGATTCTTTATCTCCTATCTTATACAACATTACTACCGAATATTTATCTAGAGGCTTAACTCATTTGCTCATTTGTTATAAAAGCATTACTTATAGGAATTATGGAGGTTAAACATTTCTCACATTTGCTTTGCTAATGACATCATTTTATTTTGCAATGGGTCATTGAGTAGTATTAAAATGTTTATAATTTATTATGCCTTTTTAAAAAAGCGTGTGGGTTGAATTTCAATAGATCTAAAAGTACTTTTATTACTGATAAAGGCATGTTTGTGCTTCATTGTAACAATATCAATAATATTACTTGTTTTGCAAGCAATTAATCCATTCCTATCTACTATTTGGGAATTCCTCTTCACAAAGGGAATAAAAAATTTCTCATGTTTGATTAGGTATTTTCTTGCATTTCTAATGAACTCTTTGCATGGGAATACAAGCTTCTCTCTATAAGGGTTAGACTTGTGCATACTAAGAGTGTTCTTTATTCCATGTCTATTAACTTACTTCAAAAAATTAACCCTACTATGGATGTTTGCAATAGACAGAATAAAATGATTAATAATTTTCTTAAGGTTTTTCCTGAAACAAGAAATAAAATCATTGTTCTAATTGGTCTCTTGTATTGGTCCTTTAAAGGAAGGGGGTCTGGGATGCAAATTCTTAAAGTGTTCTTTTACAAACTTTTGTGGAAATTTAAACATAGTGATTCCCTTTGGGCTAAGTTCATGAACTTTAAATATTATCATAACACGCATCCTAACTTATGTTCCTTTAGAAAGGGTCAATTTGGTATTTGGAGCAGATTGTGTAAGTTTATATGATTTGTTGAAAGTACCCTCTAATAGGGACTTCGAAATGGATTGGCCCATTTATGGCATGATGACTG